TTCCTGACATTTTATTTGTCTAATTCTTACTTTGCAAAGGCTTTTCACACCTGCAGTTTTATTAGTTCTTTCAATATCAAGAAGCAGAAGTGTTGTGATTATCTGATATACTTGAAACATGTTTTGTTCACAATAGGTATTTAATAAGTATATTTTTAAATGTTAAAAAAAAACAAGTTGTGAAAGTGGAGAGGAAAACAATGATATTTGAGGGCCTTACTACTTGCCAGTACTATATATCCCATGTCAAATCTGTGTTAGTCTCTGTGACCAAAAGACTTAATAAGAACAACTTAGAAGAGGAAAAGTTTATTTTGGCTCTGGTTTCAGAGGTTCAGAACATGGTTGGCTGGCTGCATAGCTCTGGGCCCAAGCTGAGGCAAGCCATCATGGCAGAAGAGTATGGCAGAGGAAAACAGCTCAGGACATGACAGCCAGGAAACAGAGAGAGCTCTGCTCACCAGGGACAAAATATAAACCGCAAAGTGACACCCCTAATGACCTGTTTCCTCCAGACATACTCTACCTGCCTAGAGTTACCACCCAGTTAATCCATCCAATTGGATTAATCCACAGATTCAGTTATCATTCTCATAACCTAATCATTTCAACTTTGATCGTTCTTAATTGTCTCATACGAGTTTGGTGGGTAGGGGGACACTACATACCTGAACCATAACACAATCTTTACACCGATCCTGTTTAACAATGTCATGGGGCTAGAGGTCTGCGGTTGTTTCCCTAAAATCCACTTCTAGGTGCCAGGCAAGCTTTGAAAATTCTCTCCTCACAGGCAGAGGTGGTTTCTTGATCAATTGCCAGATAGTTCTTCTTTCATCTAGAGGAAAGATGGACTTGATAAATTCTCACCAGGAAAACATGGTGGCACAGGTTCCACCTATTCCATTCCTGGATCAGACCTACAGTATATGGTTCTAGAAACCAAAACCACAAGGTTTAAAAAGCACTTTGTTCTTCTTTCTGGAATAATAAATCCAAAGTAGGAAGTTCAGGGCTGGCACAACTGCTCATTGAACCAGGTGACTTTTTATTTTCTCTAGTGTCATCTCCAGTGGGTGGCTTTCTTCTACATGGACACAAGAAGTTTGTTCCACCACCAAGACAGCACCTTGGTGAGAGCAGGGAGAAGGACAAAAGTAGAAAGACGCATGTTTGCAGTAAAATTCTCCCTTTTTGTTTTAATCAGGAAAACAATTACTTTCCTAGAAGCTTCACCCTATTTATTACGTTTCTGCTTATGTCTTATTAGAACTGTGCTACAACCTCAGCTACAAAGAAGACAGGAAAGTAGAATTCTTTAACTGGGCACACTGCTGTGCTAAACAAATGTGGGCTATTGTGTAGTAAAGACAAGGGAGAATGAATAGTGAACAGGCAAACAGCATGGTCCACCCCTGGATATACAAAACACGAGACCTTTCTATCTGGCTCTTTGCTATTAAATGCAGGGTTTCTGTTCCCGTGACTAAAAGTCTAAGGGGTCACTCCAGGTAAACTGGGCTAACTGGGCTGCATGAAATAACCACACAAGAGACACAAATACCTTTTTCTTTGGGGTCCCTGTGATGGCTCCTCTGACCTTAAGGGTCTGCAGAAAGAGAGAGAGCGAGAGCACATGCTGACCCCTTTTATTGAGGAGAAGCTATTCAAATGAGGCAAGGGGTCAGGTTTCAGGGGGCTGAGTTTATCTTCATGATGTCCACTGTCAGCAGGTTGACTGACACCTGGGTAGGCCACACCCAAGGGCACAGTAAGAGGAGGGGACACACACAAGGCACTTCCATGGAAGATTCTATCCTAAACAGGGCAAGGGGTTATATTACAAAGGAACAGGTGAGCGTAGCTTCACCCATGGGGCTGTAGCAAGACACACCCATGCACGAGACACTGACCCTCGCACCCAAGAAGGGTGGGGAAAACTCTGCCACATTTCTGTGACTGAGCGCCTCAGCACCCAGTCAGGGAGTGTGACTCAGTCACGTGTAAAGTTGGTCTCCCACAATTAAACATACATTGGAGGGCTGGGGCTGGGGCTCTGTGGCAGAGCACTTGCCTAGCACGTATGAGGCACTGGGTTCAATCCTTAGCACCACATAAAAATAAATAAAATAAATGCATTCGGTCCATCTACAACTACAAAAAAAAAAAACTTGTAAAAAATACTTTGGTTACTTCACAATATTTGTTAGAGAATAAAGAAAGCTCCAAATGGGAAGGAACATGTTGCAACTGAATGTTACCACTTGGGCCAAATGTCAGAGAAAGAGGGAGGCAGGTTGTCTTGTGTCCAAGAAGCTTTACCGAGGCCAAATCTTTGTCGAGCCTGCTAAGAAAGTGAGGGAGGGGTGCTGTGGTTTCTTCACTGTTCATATTTGATTTTGTACCAGGGGTTAGGGCCAAACATATATGATTTTGGACCATGGGGGCAGAGGGTTGAGTTTTTCATACTCATCAATGAGTTTATGGCACATTACTGTTACCGGTCTGCTGAATTATTTCCCTCTCTGTAATTTATGTGCATTATTAAAAAAATCACTATTCCTTAGTCTTCGCTTCTTACTATCGGCAATTATGGTGATATGTTTAATGTGTGCGTAGTTTCTTTTTTTTCTTTTTTTTTTTACATGTTCTTATTTAATTTTTTTTTCAGTTTTTTTTTAGAGAGAGAGAGAGAATTTTTTTAATATTTATTTTTCAGTTCTCGGTGGACACAACATCTTTGTTTGTATGTGGTGCTGAGGATCTAACCCGGGCCGCACGCATGCCAGGCGAGCACGCTACCACTTGAGCCACATCCCCAGCCCACATGTTCTTATTTAAGGTGGGCATACACTACAATTACTGTTTCTGGGCATACACTGTTTCTTTTCTACTGCAGAATTTGTTTTTAGGATCCATGCAAGTTATATACATCAAACCAGTGCTTCTGATTGCTGTATTGTAACCCACAGAATGCACCCACCATATTTTAACCATACACTGGGTTATGGGCTGAATTGTGTGTCCCCTCCTCCCACCACAGAAAATTGATATGTCAAAGTCCCAAACCCTAGTACCTCAAATGCAACCATATTTGAAGACAGGGTTTTAAAGAGGCAATTAAGGTTAAGTGAGCTCATATAAGTGAGTCTTAATCCATACAACTATATTTGAAATTGGACCTTCAAAAGGGTGATTAAATTAAACTGAGGTCTTTAGGTTGGACTGTAATCCAACTGTGTCCTCATTAGAAGAGAGACACCAGAGATGCACAAATACAGAGAAAAGGCCATAAGAGGACACAGAGAGAAGGTGACCATCAATAAGCCAAGGAATGAGACCTCAAGAGAAACCAAACCTACACACTGATCTTGGACTCCAGCCTCCAAAACGTGAGAAAGTAAATTTCTGTTGTTTAAGCCACCCAGTCTATGGTATTTTGTTATGGCAGCTCTATCAAACCAAAATACACTCTCGGAAACACCTAGGTTTCTTTCAACTCTTCTATTGAAAAGCTTTTGCATTCAACAAACCACTTTTACTGTGAAACTGACAAAGCTGTACAGCTAACATCTGAAAACCTCTTACTGCTATCTTACATAGAAAATGGGGAATTCTGTCTCTTGGAGCAATAAATCTTTCATTTAGCGCCTTGTTAATTGAAATCCTGGTAAGAAGAAAAGATCAATCCTATGCTCAAAGACAGTTGATTGGTTTAGGTAATCCAGGGCATAAACTAATTTGTACTCACTGGATTGGCAATAGGTAAAAACAACATCCCCACTCCTGATGTGAGCTTCAGTTAAAAGGAACTTTTTATGGAATATTACCTGACAGTTATTTAAGTAATGAGCTACATCTATATATGTTTATTTAGAGAGATGTCCATGATATTAAATCAGAAAAAAAGGGGTAAAGTACCATCTTTAGAAAGATCCTAATTTTATATTATGTATAATCCATGTCAGTCATGTAATTGACTGACAAAGACTGGGTGAGGGTTTGACAGTATGTAATTGGATATGGTGTGGGTTGTCTGGGATTTGACAGTATGTAATTGGATATGGAGTGGGTTGTTCTTCACCTATGAAGAACTCAGAAGACTGTTACTGGGATCTAGATATTAACCACACTCCTGTACTAATCTAAGCACTTGATATTTGACTCATTTTATTCTTTCACAAAGACATTTAATTTTCTTTTGTATTTTGGGGGGTATTTATTTTGTTTTTTGGTATTGGGGATTGAATCCAGGGGCACTTTACCACTGAGCAGCATCTCCAGGCCTTTTTATTATTATTATTATTTTTATTCTGGGACACAGTCTCTCTAAGTTGGTGAAGCTGTTCTGGAACTTGTGATCTTCCTACCTCAATCTCTTAACACCCACCTCCTTTATCGCTTAGGGATCTAATCCAGGGCCTCATGCATGTTAGGTAAGCCCCCTACCAATGAGTTACACCCCCCAGCTATAAGGTATGTAATTTTCAAAGTTACTCTGGGGGTAAGCACTATTCCCCACCTCCCTCAACCCCCGCCATCTTGCAGATGGGTGCTCAAAGCTGTACCACTAGTAAGTAGCTAGCTCAGGCTTCCAAGAAGAGCACTCTTAAGATCAGCGACTTGACTCGGCCCAACCGCTGCCTTAGACCGCCTCTCCTCGCAGAGGCAGGGAAAGGCCAAGTCAAATGCTTACAGTTGCAGGAGTGTGATGGGTGTGTACTGGGGGCGCTTCAAAGGCAGAGAAGCTCTCTCTGGAAGGGTCTGGGAAGGATACACAGAAGAGGTAACCCTTTTCTTGGTGTTCACCAGGCACATGGCATCTCTCTCACCCGGCATCTTTTCGCGGGAGCAACAGGTTCCACTGGGGCTGCTACTATTGGAAGCCAAAAAAGCGCCCAAAAAAGCTACTATTGGAAGCCAAAAAGCGCGCGCACGCGCACACGCACACACACACACACACACACACACACACACACACACACGCACATTCCTCAGTTCCAGAGTTCCCTCCAGTGATTCTCTGGCGGTCAGAGGTCTCAGGCTTCCAGAAATAGCTCCTCCCCGGAGAAGCCCCACCTTCCTAGCTACCGCCTTAAACTCAGCTCTCCGCTGCGCCTTCTCTTCCCCAGCAAGTGGAGTCTGCGAGATCTTGTGAGTAGACATCCCACATTCTCTTTTCTCTTTTCTCCCACTTCTCCCTCTCCTCCTCCAGGTCTTCCAATCCCTCTTTTTCCCTGCAGAAACGCGCCTGTTGAGGAGGGTTTGCGCTTACCCTTTCCACTCCAGGTGCTGAAGGGGAAACTGGGGAGCCGGAGGTCCCAATGCCTCAGGTCCAGGCAGGTTCTTGGGGTGTTCGGGACGGGTGCTGGAGGAAGGGGCAAAATCTGGCTGTATTTCCTTTATGCCCCAGCCGTGTACGAACTGGAAAGGGGCCGCCAAGAAACTTGCTGGACTGCGAACCCGGGGAAGGAGTGAACGGGACGCAGCAGGATCGGAGCCTGCGGCGAGGTGTCTGCGCCGCAAGCCGCGCACCGCACCAGGCCCCTTTCCTCCAAGGGCGCTGGCTTCTGCGGCCAGGCTCTTTCAGGGGGCGCTTTCAAGGATTGTGGCGAGTTCAGAATCACCAGCAATTGCCCTTTTGTAAAGAAAGGCAAGAAACTGGAATTAAAAATAAACAAACAAAAAACGGGAGACTCAGAAGGATTGAGAAAGTTGATTACCAGAGTCTGGGAGTGGCTTGGGGCGGGAATGAGTTATTGGTGAAAGGTCACGAAGGGCCAGATAGGAGAGTAAGTTCTGAGGTCTGCTGCACGAAAGGGTGACTGTAGTCAGAATAATGTATATTTCGAGGGCTGGGGCTCAGCGGTAGTGCACTTGCCTGACATGTGAGGCTGGATTCGATTCTCAGCATCACATATAAATAAAGGTCTATCAAAACTAAAAAAAAAAAAAAAAAGAAATAGTGTATAATTCGAAATCACTAAGTAAATTTTAAATGTTTCACCATAAAAATGTTAGGTAAATAAGGTGATGGATATGTTTGTTAATTAACTTGATCCAATTACTCTACATTGTATTACACATATCAAAACACAGCAACCCAGGTTTCAGACCAAAAAAAAAAAAAAAAATCACGCTGTACCCCATCAATGTATAAAATTATTAGTTGACAAATAATATTATTTTGTTCAAAAAGACAGAAGAGCTGGGCTTGGACTGGACGGCCCTCAGCGCTCTCTCTGTAAAGCAGACGTGTCCCCTCCAGGCTACAGTGCCCCCATTCCCGGGTCCTGGCCAGGAAACAGAGTAAGATCACCAATCCTGCAGGCTTGTCTAGTTGTCACTGGTGGGGAAGGCGTGGTTCCCACGTGATGCATCCCAGTTCGGTGCCCAAAGTCCTGACTCCAGAGCTCAGAGCAGGATTAATCATCTCTTGTTTTGGGGTGGAGGCAAGTTTAAACTCAAATCCTGATTTCCCCATTGGAACCAAAACTAAAGAACTTTCGCTCCTGAAAATGGGGCGTAGCATCGGCGCCACCCAGTGGCATGCAGGCGTCCTTGGGACTGCGTTGAGATGATGGCACTGTCCACCTGAAAGAAGTGAATGAATTTGGTTTTGTGTTTTGATTCTTTTTCTGAGGATTTAATTCATGGAAGGTAAGAAACTGGAAGTATTTTCACGCCGAGCAGATGGTCACTGTCCTGGAGAAATTCAGCCTAGTGATGCCTGGGAAAACTTTCCACGTCAGTTTATATTTTTCCTTTCTTTGAAGGTTTCTTTAAGTATCTGTACATTGGCAATGATAACAATGCCTATCTTATAGGGAAGTTCTGGGGATAAAATGATATCATGTATGCAAAGTGCTTAGCACAGCACCAGAAGCAGTAAGTACTAAATAAAAGTGGCTGACGTTACCTGGTAATATGAGAAGTAGTATGTGTAGCTGTGCTATCTGGCCTCAGTGCAGTGTGACTAGAGAACTGTAAGAATCCAGTCACTTCAAGGAAGCTGACCATATGTTTACTTTGTTCTAGGAGCTTCAGGATGGTTCTTGCTAAGAGGTGGACCCTGAAGAAGCACTTCAGTGGCAGCCCTACTAATAGTGACTTTGAGTTGAAGACTGCTGAACTCCCACCCTTAAAAAATGGAGGTAAGTCAGACTCCTAAGATCTCAAAATTGTATAGGTTAGCATTTGCTGCATAACAAACTACCTTAAACCTTGGGGACTTGAAGTAACAATTATTGATTAATTCACAATTCTGAGGGTTAGCAGTTTGGGTTGAGTTAAGGTGAGTGATTCTGTTGGCCTCTCACTCACATGTTTGATGGTTAGCAGGTTTTCTGCTGGGGTGCAGGCCTCATGTCTCCTCTATGAGGCCTTTCTAGTAGGCTAGACTGTTCTCTGTCTCAGTGGTCCCCTGGAATTAGAGCAGCTGGAGTTGACAAATTCCAACATGCAGTTGCTTTTCAAGCCTCTACTTTTATCTTGGTTTCTATTAACCCATTGGTCAAAGCAAATTAGATAGCCAAGACCATATTCAAGGGGAAACACAGTTCTTTTTCATTTTTATGTTTTTATTTAGTGCTGGAGATCAAACCCAGGGCATTACACAAGTACTCTACCACTAAGCTACATTCTCAGTCCCTGGAAATAGATTTCCTGATGGGACTGAGTGGTTACAGATGGGACCCTGGGCAAATTACTTAACTTCAAATAAAATGGAAACAATAGTTGAGAATATCAAGTGAAATAATCCATGTAAAGCAAGAAGACAGTGCTAATAAATAACCACATCGTCACCATCATCATTGTCATAGTCACCATCACCATCATCATCAGCTAGGCTGGGCCAAACATGAGAGCCCTTCTTGTCTTTTCTATAGAAAGCACAGATGAAGGGCTGGGGTGTAGATCAGTGGTAGAGTACTTGCCTAGCATGTAGAAAGCTCAGAATCTGATCTCCAGCCCGGGGAAGGGGGTGGGGAATGGACCCTGAAGCAAAAAGATTATCTGCATTTATTTAGAATGCCAAAAATGGCACAGGCACCAAGCCTTGCGTTTCTAACTGCCTGTGGAATACTTATATTTTGTAGAGGTCCTGCTTGAAGCCTTGTTCCTCTCCGTGGATCCTTACATGAGGTATTATCTTCCTCCTCAAAATTCTTATGCTGTGTGATGGACCCTATTCTGAATTACTGCAATGCACCTTTTAAAATGCTCAAAGGAGATGCATATTTTTAATTTGATTCAAAACACTGTCATTTCTGCATTTCTCCCAGTATTGTATCAATGATGGATTCACAGATGCTCTTCTGAGAAGCGTAATGAGAGATTAACAATGGTTGCTTTCTTTTACAACCATCTTCTCTCTGCTCTGCACAATTTGCCTTTTATTGTTCACCAGAATTGCTTCTGGGGTGGTGGGAAATGAAAAGAAAAAGAAGCTAAGCCCCAATTCACCCATTTCATTTGTGGTAAATAATTTGGACAGAAGTTGCTGAGACTAAAGCCGGATATTCTTGCCTTCCATTGACTTGTGTTCTTTTAATTTAGGTTATCTGTAATTGACTTAAATTTATATACTAGTAAATAACTCGGGATTGTGGGAATAAAAAGCCTTCCAGGCAACAAATGCCTCAGTAATTTTTGCCAAAGTAAGTAATATATTCATCCTTCTTTTAAATATTTTTTTCATGCTGAGCATGGTGGTGCACACCTATAATCCCAGAAACTCAGGAGACTGAGGCAGGAGAATCACAAATTTGAGACCAGCCTCAGCAACTTAGTGAGGCTTCAGCAACTTAGTGAAACCCTATCTCAAAATAAAAAATGAAAAGGGTGGGGGATGTAGCTCAGTGGTGAAGCACTCCTGGGTTCAATCTCCAGTACCAAAAAGATAAATAAATAAATAAATTCAGAGTTATAAAGAATTTTACAGATTCAAATCTGAAGTGTAAAATGCAGTGTTTTTTGTTTGTTTGTTTGTTTTGTTTTTTTTTTTAGTTGCCAATGGATTTTTAACTTTGTTTATTTATATTTGGTGCTAAGGATCGAACCCAGGGCCTCACACATGTTAGGCAAGTGCTCTATCATTGAGCCACAACCCCAGCCCCTAAGATTCAGTTTAAAAATGTTAACTAGCATCCTTTTTTTGTTTGGCTAGTATTTTAGGTATATTTTTAAAGTTATTGATAGGAACTCACCTCCAATTCAACACGGTGGTAAGATTCTCCTGTCCAGTCATAGGAAGCTACTGCCAGAGTGCATCTTAGGGGTCACAGAACAGAACTGCCCCTAACCATTTCACCTGATTGTGCCACCCTTGTGTATCTGGGTTTTATTTCTGTACATACTTCCCCAATGGTTTGTTCATTTCGCTTGAAATTCAAGATGGTTTTCCCCACATGCTCTTAAAACTAAGAATGGAATTTTATTTTTTTCAGAATAGCATCCAGAAAATTGAAGGAAGGTGATATAATGATGGGGGAGCAAGTGGCCAGGTAATTATTTTCATTTGTCCCAGTGCTTGGGAAATACACTTCTTCCTGACCTCTTGCTGGGTCCTGTCTCTGTTCATTGCTCCTACTTGAGCCTGTATAGTTCACTCACTTTTTGATTTGAAAAGCCCCTTGGGAGATTCTGTCCACTTCCTGACTAACCAAGAGGGAGGGAAGATGTGAAATTGTCAATCTTTCCTCACTCTGCCATCCTTACTTTTAATTACTTTCTTAAACAAATGTATTCATCCAATTCATGATTATTGTAAAAACTCAAATAAACCAAAAATTTAATCTTGAAACTGAACGGTAAAGTCAGTTGTTGTTAATGGATTGTTATTTCAAAAATTGTTTAGTGCACATAGTTTTATATAGTTTTAAGTGGGAATATATGCCATTCAACAAATTGCTTTTTTTCTCATTTACTATGTCATAGATATCTTTTGTTGATAGTATATAAATATATAATCTACCTTTATTAAAAGTTGCAAATTATTCCATTATACTCTGACATTTAACAAATCTGCTACTGATACAACTGTTTTTTTTTTCTACTACAAATAATTCTTCAGGGAGCATGTATGTATCTGTGTATTCTTTGTCCACTTGGAGAAGAAGGCTTTGCATTAAATTCTCAGTAGTATAAATTCTAGCTCAAAGGAGATGAATATTTTTAATTTGAAAAGGTCACGACAATTTGCCCTTCAAAAAGATAGTATGGGCCAGGCATGGTGACGCAGGCCTGTAATCCCAGGGGCTCAGGAGGCTGAGACAGGAGGATCACCAGTTTAAAGTCAGCCTCAGTAACTCAATGAGGCCCTAAGCAACTCAATGAGACCCTGTCTCTAAATAAAATACAAAAAGGGCTGGAGATGTGGCTCCGTGGCCGAGTGCTCCTGGGTTCAATCCCTGGTAATCACCCACCTCCCCCCACCAAAAAAAAAAAAAAAATAGTATGAGCCTGGATATGATCTTGCACACTTGTAATCCCAGCTTCTGAGATTGCTGAGGCAGGAAGATTGCAAAACTAAGGCCAATTTAGGGAGACCCTATTTCAAAATACAATACAAAGGGCTGGGGATGTAGATCAGTGGAAGAAGTGTTATCTAGCATACACAAGGTTCTGGGTTCAATCCCAGTACTGGGTTAGGGAGGGTTGAGTATACACTCCCACCACCCAGTAGTTTTAAAGAACCTCTTTCCTTACACGTATGCCCATCCTTTTTTTTTTTTTTTTTAAGGAAATTCTTTCAGTATTTTTTTTTTTTTTTTTGCAGTTGTAGATGAACAGCATGCTTTTATTTTGTTTGTTTATATGTGATGCTAAGGATTGAACCCAGTGCTACGCACATGCTATGCAAGTGTTCTGCCACTGAGCTACAATCCCAGTCCACACATATGCCCATTCTTTTCCATCTTGGTTTTGTTGTGTTGTGCTTTGGGGCTGAGGTGCTGCACTGGGAATTGAACTCAGGACCTTGTGCATGCTAGGCAAGCACTCCACCATTGAGATTTACCCCCAGCCCTTTCCATTGGTGTTGGCAATCTGAGATGAATTTGTTGATACTTCATGTTTAGTTTGTATTCCTTTCATTACTAGTGATGTTGACCTTCATTTTGTAAGTTAATTATCAGTTTTCTTCTCTGAATTATTTGTGTCCTTTGCTGTTTTCCTTTAGGACTCTTCCTCTGTTTTATTGATTTGCAATTCTTTTTGTATGTCAAAGGCATTAGTGTTGCAAATATTTGGGTCTCTTTATCTTTCTACAGTATCCAATCATAATTTAAAAATTTTAAATATTTGCAATTATGGCCTTTTGATTGCATCTTATGCTTAGAAAACTTTTTCACCTCTGAAAGGGTTAAAATATTCATTCATGTTTTCTTCTATATTTTTAGTTTAATTTTACACTCAAATTTGCTAGTCATTTACTTTTTATGTTGGCATAAGGAGTGAGGTGTTTGTGTCTTCATGACTAGTGGATTGGCATAATCTATTTGTTCAAATCTTATTTGGATTTTTATTGATATTTCAATGACCTTGTAGATTGATTTAGAAGAAACTGATATTTTTATAGTCTTTCTCTCCAAGTACAGGGTGTGCTTTTCCATTTATCCATTTTGTCTTATATTCCATTACCAGGGTTCTTCCCACAGATTTTTTTGGGGAGTCTTGGGGGTAGGTACCAGGGATTGAACCCAGAGATACTTCACCACTGAGCCACATCCCCCTGCCCTTTTATTTTATTTTATTTTTGAAAAAGGTCTCACTAAGTTGCTTAGGGCCTCATTAAGTTGCTGAGGATGACCTCAAACTTACAATCCTCCTGGGATTACAGGCGCATGGCACTGCACCTGGCTTCCCATAGGTTTTATACATTTCTTGCTAATAATCAAAGAATGAACATGTATTGTGTTTACTGAATTGGCAGAGACCTTTAAAATCATAATACTCAGTAATGGAGATGATGTGATGATACTTTCACTCATTGGGTAATATCCATTAATGGATGATGATACATTATCAGTCCAGAAGTTGGCACAACCTTCTAGAAAGAAAACTGTCAATAGGCATCAAGAGTTACAAATGTTTTCATACTCTTTGACCTTGTAATTTTACTTGTAGAAATGTTGTCTAAGGAAAAAGTAAATTCATATTTATCAGTATTAATTAAAATGTAATTTACATTAGGAAGGATACTGGGAATAAACTAATGAATAATTAAATTCATTATAATTTTTTTGGGGGGGGATTAAACCCAAAAGTACTTTACCACTGAGCTACACCCTTATCCCTTTTCATTTTGAGACAGAGTCTCCCTAAGTAGCTGAGGTTGACCTATAACTTGCAATCCTCCTTAGCTTCCCAAGTCATGGGATTACAGGCATACACCACTGTGCCTGCTGCTTGTTATAGGTTTTTAAGGATTCTTAATGACATGGAGAAAAGCAAAAATTACATAGACCAATATAGTGTTGATAGTTAAATTTGGTTACAAACGTTACTTCATAGGAGCACAGTGACACACACCTGTTGTAATCTCAGCAACTCGGGAGGCTGAAGCAGGAGGATTGCAAGTCCAAGGCCAGCCTTAGAAATTTAGAGAGGCCCTAAGCAATTAGTAGGGCCCTGTCTCAAGAAATAAAAAGGGCTGGGGATATAGCACAGTAGTAAAGAACAAAAGCAAAAACAAAGCCTTGGTTCAATCCCTGGTACCAAAAAAAAATTTACTTCAGTTGTGTAAATATGTATAATATACATCTTAAAGGATATCACTAACATTTCCATAAAATACACAAAGACATTAGCAATTACCTTTGTGTTTGTGGATTATAACTGATATTTTTATCTTACCTGTTTTACATTTTCTAGAACAAAATGTGTTATACAATCTTATGATCTGGGGGAAGATAGTAAAGAATAGTGAGAGTGCGAAAAAAATAAAAGAACTGAGACGGAAATGGGGCAGCTCAGAGAGGGAGTCAGGAATAGCTAGGAGCAGTCAGTGTCCTGCAAACCCATGGGAAGCGTTCATGGTGAGCTTCAGTGTTGAATGGAGTACAAAGACAAAATGGGGTAGTGATTAAAGGATGGCCACTGGATTGGAATCGGGAGGTTGTCGAGACCTTCATGGAACAGTGGTGGCGGAAGGCAGGTTATTAAGAAAATGGGAAGTGAGGAGGATCAGCTTCAAAAGCATAGAAGGAGGAAGGTGGGAAGATGAGAAGGAGCGTAAGAGGTGGCAGAATGAGCCTGCGCACATGCTGAAGCAAAGGCGGTGGAGGGGGAGGTGTTAGCGATTCAGGAAAAAGGAAGGCAAAAGGTAGAGGCGAGGCCCTGAAGAGAAGAGGCTGCTGTCCAGGCCACCTGGAGCCAAGGAAGGAGGCTTCTTGCTTAAAAAGGAGAGAAGTAGGTGAGGCAAGGATGCACTTCTCTTTGAGGCACCCCGTGCGATGATGACTAGGGGTAACTGGAGAGGTGACAGGATGCCACTCATGGAGGTCAGCCTCGGGCCCATTCCTGAACACTAACAACACCAACGTCACAGTATCCCGACCCCTACAAAAGGGAAGAGGTGTCACATGTCTTGATGTGCTTTACCTTTCAGAGTTGTGGAAAGTAAAAACTCAGCATTCCCCAAAGGAACTGTTGTACTGGCTTATTTGGGCTGGACAACGCACTCCATCTCTGATGGGAAAAGACTGGAAAAGCTGCCTACGGACTGGCCAGATTCACTACCACTGTCTTTGGCTCTGGGGACAGTAGGTATGCCAGGGTGAGTTTCATGAGTATATTTCATTTGTTTGAATGCCTGACCCTCGGTTTTTCCAAATTGTTTGGTCCAGAACTTGGTCCACAAGAACAGACATGAAGCATTGTAGGCCTAGAATCAAAAAAGTTGAACTCAGAGCAGAGAGGAGAATGGTGATTAGCAGGAGCTGAGGGCTAGGGAACTGGGGAAACGCTTGTCAAAAGATATAAAATTTCAGTAAGACAGGAATTTCAGGAGATGTACAACATGGTGCCTATAGTTAACAATATATTGTATACCTGAAAATTGCTAAGAAGGTAGATTTAAAATAGTCTTACTGTTTGAAGTAATGTATATTAATTAGCTTGTTTGAGCCATTCATATATACATATTTTTTTCAAAACAACCCATTGTACATTTTTTATATATATATATATATATATATATATATATATATATACCATTTTCACTCGTCAAGTACAAATTAATAAATAAAGGGAAGGAAAAGGTGGTCTAGAATTAGCCTTGATGCTGAAGAAAGGAGACAGGAATCAGATCCCAGGTATAGAGGAAGCACCATAAGAAGTGACATGGTACACGATCCCCACCAGTGGCCGGCACAAGGGAGACAAAAAGGAACCAGCTGCTCCCAGCCCTGGGAGGCTCTTGGCATCAGCCGCTCATCTCTGCCTTTCCTTCAGAGTTTGTAAAGGGAGAGGGATTTCAGCCAGCGTGGTCTTTCTGTACTGGCTCTGCTTCCTCCTCACCTCTCTCTCTATACATCTGTTTCCTGGGGTAGAAGAGGATCTGAAGTTTACTTAGTTGAGAGGAATCACAGTATTGTTCAGTGACTGCGCCTGGAAGAGGTTTAAAATATGCTGATGGCCATATCTCTCAGGAAGACTCCTGGGTCTACACTTCAGTTCCCAGCTGAACTTTGAAACCTCGCATTTCCTTTTATGCCCTGGAGAAACAAGGCCATTGTTGCCTTTAGTGTTCCCAAAACTTTGCCAACCTGAAATTCATTTCTTTCCTTTCTCTAAGTGGTGTGATCTTTTCTTTTTTTCCTCCCTTCTCCACTCCTTGTTCCCTTCTTTGAAGAGCTTCTAAAGAATGAAATAGAAATATAGACCCCTAAATGATCAGTCTGTTATAAAAACAACTTCCATAACCCCAAGTTCATATTCCAGTCAGAATTTGAACTCGGAGTCAGCAGTGCCAAAAGGCATTGTGAAATCAGAGGCGGCTCAATGCCTTCTCACATTCAATTAGTGGACATTAACCAGAATTAGAGTGCATCCTGGTTTTTTCTGCCTGCCCTTCCTTCACTCTCCGCTGGTGACAGCTCTTCCTCCTACCTTGTCATCTCACCCATCCTTCTCTCTGCGCTCTGAGTCAGGTGGAGGAGAGCAGAGGTGAAGGTAGACCTGAGGGAACTTGGGAGCAAGTCTCCCATGACTCAGCCGGGAAGAAAGTTAGTTGTAAGCTATTAGGAGATCTTGACTCCCGAAAGAGAATCGGTGTGTATTTCTTAATCATCTCTTCCAAGCCTCTAAGGAATGCACTTTTACTCCCATCAATCAACTTTATGCCAGTGGTTCTCAATGATTGAGGGGAGAAGTTACATCATGCCTGTTTCTAAGCATTCTCTAGCAACATACCACCTATTTGTTGAGACTACTCACCATGGTGGATCACTCCAATGAGATAGGTCAATTTTTAGGAATGCTTGGACCATTGCTAAAAATTATAAATGATGTTAAATTTTGAAATCAGTGTATTTCAACTGTCCACACACTCCAGATTTAATATCCCCCAAAAAAACTATTGTGTCATTCCCTTCCATTTAGTTGAAAGACCTCATGTGTTTTGCTCTCTAGATTGTTGTTGTCCAGTCTTAGCCATAGCGTACCTTGATTTTCTCCCTAGGATTTCTTTACAGCTGCCTATTTCATCTTATCTCCATTTGTTAGTCCACTTTCTATCACTATAACAAAATGCCTAAGATAACTAACTTATAAAGAGAAAAGGTTGATTTTTTTGCTCATGATTTTAGAGGTCCCAGTCCATGATAGATTGGCCAGTTGCTTTTGGGCGTGTGGGGAGACAGCACATAAGGGCAGGAGTGCAAGGTAGAACAAAACCATTCACCTGTTGGCCAGTTAATCAGAGACAGAAAGAGGAAGAGACCAGCATTCCACTGGCCCCTTCAAAGCATATCCCCAATGACCTAAAGACCTCTCCCAAGGCCCCACCTCCTAAAGCCTCTGCCACATCTTAACAGTGCTTGCCAACTGGGGAATAAGCCTAAAACATGGGCCTTTGAGGAACATTTAAGATACAAACTGTGATTTATTCTCCAAGCCACTGTTTCTATGAAGTCCTCCTTAGTCCAAAGTTCACCTTTGACCTCCCCTAGAATTTCTTTTTTTGTTGATGTTTCCATCTTATCTCCATTTCATTTTTAAAAGAAAGTAGTTTGGAAAAGGCCTTGTATATCTTAGGTCAATATACAGACTGACCGGAAATCCCAAGGAGGTAGCTTCAGGGAGGACAGATGCTGGGGGCCATGAGTTCATTAGTTGATTTCATCATTAGGTGAACATCCTAGATTATATTTACACAAACTAAAATAGCTACAATGTTGCCGTAGTCCGGCTGGGTTAAATAACCGAGAGGTGACAAGCAACTTGAAGGTTGAATTGGGAACTACTTTATTGCGAGTGAACTCAGCAGGAACTGAGAACTCAAAGTAGCGGGCACCCAAGGTAGCAGGAGCCGCTTCTCTGCTGGACTGCAGAGGTACATATACCCAACTAATTACACACAGCTTAACTTAATTGACATCATCTAGACGCAGCAGTCAGTCATTAAGGAATCCTCATCATCTTAATGGCTCATTGGCGTTGGCTTAGAAACCACTCCTCCTAGCATACTGCCAGGCGCCATCTTAACTTGGTTGTGGCCCTCATCACAATGTCATATAATTTTACGGACCACTACTGAATACGCAGTCTGTCCTTGACCAAAACATCATTATACAACTCATGACTGTATTTGAATCCTCAGAAAAAGATATTACCTGTGTCTGTCACTGCCTTCCCCTTAGGGCCCAACTGTCATGGGCCCCAAATAGAAACAGAGGCTGAATAAAACAATGTCATGCTCACATGCAGGTTCTGTTTTACACAGAAATCACTTTAGATGAATTTGTCTGAAATTTTGCAGGTCCCTTAACCGTCACTATAATACATATCGATCTTTGGCACAGAAATACATCTTAAAAATTTAGCTGTGACTGAACTTCATTTCTTTCTCAGGCCCTTATTTGTGCCGGTTTAGTAAAAGAAAACTTTCGGTGAGTTCTTGCTGGCAGAATGGGGACAACGTCTCCATCTTAATCGGTGTCGGTCTTATGCTGTTCCCTCTCAATGTCTTCCATTCCACCCCCTTCCAAGTTTCAAGCCACTGGGGTGTGGTAGTGTCTTCACCCAGTCCCCACCGTGACTGTCTACACTGCATCTCTGTAGGCCCAGTGGTTCTTTCTTGGCAAGCTAACCTCACATACCACTTCAGGGCACATGGGGGAAATTCAGAAGTTCTTCTATACCTCTCTGGAGTTATCAGAAACTCAGGATGCTGTCTCTGAGCCTCTCATGCCTATCACAGCATAGCATCCACCCTGCAGCCAAGGCACTGTTAACACTGAGGCTTGCTCTGTGAAGCTCACCATCTCCCTGGGACCTACATGGAGATAAGGCATGAGTTCTCCATTCTTGGAGCCCCAAAGTTTAAGTCTTTCTTCATCCCTGAGATTTGACCTGAACATGGATGTGATGAAGCTCCATCCCAGCCAATTCTCTATTCCCTTCCTATTTCAAATCATCTGAATTCTTATCTGGGACTAGAGAAGAAGGTGGACCAATCGACATTTCCTGTATTTCTTACTTTGACTGGACCCCATGGCACGGGGCTGCTAAGAAGTCCTTCAAGGTTTATATAAAAGAGGAACAAATCTACTCACATATCCTGTTTTCTTTCCTTAGCCTAACTGCCTACTTTGGCCTGCTTGACATCTGTGGTGTGAAAGGTGGAGAAACAGTGATGGTTAATGCAGCGGCAGGAGCAGTGGGCTCTGTTGTGGGGCAGATAGCTAAGCTCAAGGTAAGTGTCTTCCTCCAGCAACATTTAGTCAAAACCCGCAGAGCACATTGGGAATGCAATGTGAACACAGAGATCTTCCCTAGCCTCGAGGAGTTTACAATCAAGTCAGTGGATCTTGCTTGGAAGTTAGAGATTGGGAAGTAGGGGAGATGAGGAAAACATGTAGCAAAGATAAACTGAATGATATTTGATAACATTCAGGTATAAGTCAGGAGCGGCCTCCAGTTTGAGTGGGATTTTGTAAGCACTAATTATTTTTTTTACAAGACATTCTTTTGCCACAACTTAACCTCCTTTATTCATTACTGCATTGTGCAATAGAGGAGCTTGAAGCCAGACATGGTAGAGCACGCCTGTAATCCCAGAAACTCAGGAGGCTAAGAAGGAGGAGTTCAAAGCCAGCCTCAGGAAAAGCAAGGCATTAAGCAACTCAGTAAGACTCTATCTCTAAGTAAAATACAAAATAGGGCTGGGGATGTGGCTCAGTGGTCAAGTGCCCCTGAGTTCAATCCCCAGTACCCAAAAAAAGTAAAAAAAAGAGGAGCTTGAGATCAGCCCAAACAAGAATCATTGCCCTCATGTGGCTCCATTACAAACTGTTGCACCAGCAAGAAATGGGCAGTGAGCACAGAGCAGTGGGGCTCTGTCCTGGGAACTAACTCCTGGAAGGCATTCAGGGCACAGAAATGTTGCCTCTTATTTGGGCAGGTCTCTGCTCAAGGGATCCAATCTGATGGTGTGTGTACAGGGCAATAGGCAGATTGGACCTGGTCAGGATTTGTTACCACACATTAAAATATTCCAAACTGATCTAGTTTAGTTAATCTAGCTTTGCCAAAGGCTGGGATTTAGGACTCGGGACCTAGTTCCTAGGGGATGAGGTGAATGGAATGCTGATGAGTTCAGGGCTACACCCAACAGCCAAGGATGAGGGCTGGTCTCCAGTACTGATGGGGGTTTGGAATACAAATATAAGGCTGCCTTAGAGGTATTTAATTTATTTATTTAAATAAGTAAGTAATTAAATAGGAATAGAGGTTGAATTTTATGAATGCCATTTCAGCATTTATCCCATTCATTTTGCAGTCACTGAGTTTTGTTTATTTTCTAACATGCAACCATTCTAGCATTTACAGTATAAGTTTTATTTAATATGGTATGTTATAGATTTACACTTTTTGAGTTGACTTGATAACCTTTTGGTTTTGGTGCTGCGGGTTGAACCTAGGGCCTTTTGCATGCTAAGCACATGCTGTACCACTGAGCTACACCCCAGCTCTGATTCAATAATATTTTATTTTAAAGAGAATTTTCACATCTGTATTTACAGGTGAGTTTAAAGTTTTGTTGTTCCCCACTCCCACCCCAAACTGAAGAGTGTCTCGCCAGACTTGGTTTATGTTGGACTTACAAAATAAATAAGGAGTATTTCCAATACTTCAAATTTCAAGTGTTTTATTAAAAATACAAGGAATTTTTATTCCAGAAGTTTGATAGGATTTGTATTTAACCTTATGCATTTATATTCAACTCTTCTGTTCATTTTATGTAATTTTATCTTTTTACCCCATCTAAAAGTCTCAGTGTATTAACAGGTAAATTTAAGCCACTCATACAAATTGTCAAAACTGGAATGTTGAGCTGGAGATATAGCTCAATGATAGAGTGCTTGCCTAACATGCATGAGGTACAAAACTAAATAAATAAATAAATAAATGAAAAGGATTGGGGATATAACTCAGTGGTAGAGTAACCCTGAGCTCAATTCCCAGTACCAATGAAAAAAAAAAAAATCTGTTTTATTTAAATTCTGCTAGTGTCTATATGCATATTTTCTATACAAAAAGCAAACCTATATGTCTATGAACTTCTAATGTAGTATATTATACTCCCTTATTCTACTCCCGTATTCTACATTTTGTTTTCAACAGTCTAATTTTATTTACAAAATTTTGGGGGAGTGTGGAACCAAGGTTTGAATCCAGGGAAGCTTGACCACTGAGCCACATCCCCAGCCCTTTTTTTTTTTTTTAATGTTTTATTTAGAGACAGGGTCTCACTGAGTTGCTTAAAGCCTCACCAATTTTCTGAGACTAGCTTTGAAGTCACATCCTCATGCTTTAGCCTCCCAAGCCCCTGGGATTACAGGTGTATACCATCGTACCCAGCAACAATCTAATTTAAAAATTCCATATTATTAGGGCTGGGGTTGTGTCTCAACAGTAGAGCACTCGCCTCACATGTGTGAGACCCAGGATCGATCCTCAGCACCACATAAAAATAAATAAACAAAATAAAGATATTGTGCCCTCTATAACTAATATATATATATTATATATATAACAATAATTCAGTTTTAAAAAATTCCATATTATTAAAATGTGTTGGTTACGACATCTAAAAATGCCTTCTAATTTTGCTTGGATTAGATCCCAAAGAAATGACCCCTTTACCTCATAGCTCTCATTCTGAGAGTGCTTTCTGGAATGCTCTCCAGTTCGTCTATGATGAAGCAGCATCTAGCCCAGTACTTTGGACCAAATCAAAGACTAAGGGGGCTCTACCTAGAGAGCTGCCCATCATATGAGCCAGAGTTGAAGGTGCACCAAGAAATAACTTACACATCATTTCAAGGAAAGAGAAGCCTCAAAATGGAGAACCCAGGAAGTCAAATGAATAGGTTATTAAAGAAGCAGGTTGAAAGCCCAGCAGCCCAGATACACTCATACCAGCCTCTGCAGGGCTCAGGCGCACAGCGGGCCGGATCCACCCCTTTCCCAGCGGGGCAGACACTCACCAGAGCCTAGCCTCTTGTGCAGGGTTGCCTCCTCTGACCAGCAGACTACCATGGGAGGTAACAACAGTGGCCTAGATCTACCCACTCCAATTTATGCAGGTCCCAGATCCAGGATGCAGTAGTATCTATTGAGGTACACCAGCAGGGTCTGGAAGCCCAACATCAAGGTGAGGTACAGACAATCTGTACGTGTACTACAAGAATATAGGGAAGAAACTCTCAGATCCACACTGCAAGAAAGGAAGACACATAATATGAAAAAACAAGGGAGGAAAATGCCCCAAACAAACCAGAACTCTATAGTAACAGAACCCATGGACAGCAAAGTTGATGAAATGTTGGAGAAGAAGTTCAGAAGGTTCATAATTAAAATGATCTGTGAATTAAAGAATGACCTAAATGAGCAAATACAAGCTCCAACAATGAGATAAGAGAGCAAATACAGGTAGCAAAAAATTTGCTGATATGATATGATTCTATACTTGGAAGACCCTAAAAGTTCCACCAGAAAACTTCTAGAACTAGTAAATGAATTCAGCAATGTAGCAGGATATAAAATCAACACCCATAAATCAAAGGCATTTCTGTATATCAGTGACAAACCCTCAGAAAGGGAAATGAGGAAAACTACCCCATTCTCAATAGCCTCAAAAACAAACAAACAAAAAACTTGGGAATCAACTTAATGAAAGAGGTGAAAGATCTATATAATGAAAATTACAGAATCCTAAAGAAAGAAATCAAAGAAGACCTTAGAAGATGAAAAGATCTATCTTGTTCTTGGATAGGTAGAATTAATATTATCAAAATGACCATACTTCCAAAAGCACTATTCAGATTTAATGCAATTCCCATCAAAATTCCAATGACATTCCTCATAGAAAAAGAAAAAGCAATCATAAAATTCATCTGGAAAAATAAGAGACCCAGATAGCTAAAGCAATCCTTGGCAGGAAGAATGAAGCAGGTGGCATCACTATACCAGACCTTAAATGATACTACAGAGCAATCGTAACAAAAACAGCATGGTATTGGCATCAAAACAGACCGGTAGACCAATAGTACAGAATAGACTAACTCACAAAACTACAATTATCTTATAATTAGACAAAGGTGCCAAGAACATGCATTGGAGAAAAGACAGCCTCTTCAACAAATGGTGCTGGGAAAACTGGAAATCCATATGTAACAATATGAAATTAAACCCCTATCTCTCACCATGCACAAAACTCAACTCAAAATGGATCAAAGACTTATGAATACATCCAGAGACCCTGTGTATAATGGAAGAAAAAGTAGGCCCAAATTTCCATCATGTGGGATTAGGCCCCAACTTCCTTAATAAGACTCCTGTGGCACAAGAATTAAAATCAAGAATCAATAAATGGGATGGACTCAAACTAAAAAATTTCTTCTCAGCAAAAGAAACAATCTGTGAGGTGAATAGAGAGCCTACATCTTGGGAGCAAATTTTTACCCCCCACACATCAGATAGAGCACTAATCTCTAGGGTATATAAAGAACTCAAAAAACTAAACGCCAAAAAAACAAGTAACCCAATCAATAAATGGGCCAAGGACATGAACAGACACTTCTCAGAAGATGATGTACAATCAATCAACAAACACATTAAAAAATGTTCATCATCACAATCAATTAGAGAAATGCAAATCAAAACCACTCTTAAGATTTCATCTCACTCCAGTCAGAATGGCAGCTATTATGCATACAAACAACAAAAATTGTTGGTGAGGATGTGGGGAAAAGGCACACTCCTACATTGCTGGTGGGACTGCAAATTGGTGCAGCCAATATGGAAAGCAGTATGGAGATTTCTTAGAAAATTGGGAATGGAACCACCATTTGACTCAACTATCCCTCTCCTAGGACTATACCCAAAGGACTTAAAAACAGCATACTACAGGGACACAGCCACATCGATGTTTTTAGTAACACAATTCACAATAGCTAAATTGTGGAACCAACCTAGATGCCCTTCAGTGGATGAATGGATAAAACAAATGTGGCATAAACACACACACACACACACGAATATTACTCAGCAACAAAAGAGAATAAAATCATGGCATTTGCAGGTTAGAGAAGATAATGCTAAGTGGAGTTAGCCAATCCCAAAAATCAAATGCCAAATGTTTTCTTTGATATAAGGAAGCTGATTCATAGTGGGATAGGGAGGGGGAGCATAGGAGGAATACACCAACTCTAGATAGGGTAAAGGGGTGGGACCGAAAGGGAGGGGGTGTGGGGTAATTAATGATGGTTGAATGTGATGATCATTATTATCCAAAGTACATATATGAGGATACGAATTGGTGTGAATATACTATGTATACAACCAGAGGTATGAAAAATTGAGCTCTATATGTGTAATAAGAGTTGTAATGCATTCTGCTGTTATATATAAATTTTTAAAAATTTAAGAAAAAAAGAAGCAGTTTGAAACAAACTTCAAACCAAGTAAACAGAAGGCAAGCTGAAGTGGGGTTGTGGGCTCGTTCCAGTTTCACTCATGAGGTCTGTTGTTCCATCATGGTATTCCTCATGTAGGAGGTGTGTTCTTGGGGAACTGACCATGCTAGACCAGGAACGTGGAGCTGGTCCATGCTTCTGTCTCATGAATGGCTCTTATTTTTTCTCTCCATTTAGGGCTGCAAAGTCGTTGGAGCAGCAGGGTCTGATGAAAAGATTGCCTATCTTAAAAAGATTGGATTTGATGTTGCCTTTAACTACAAGACAGTAGAGTCTTTGGAAGAAACTTTGAAAAAAGCGTCTCCTGATGGTTATGATTGCTATTTTGATAATGTAAGTGTAAACTGATTTAATATTTAATTTATTAATAAGGCTTTATATAAAGGAATATACTAGTTTCTATATAGACTGAAGAAAATACCTGTGCCTCTTTTAAAAATAGCTTTATGGAGATATAATTCAATAATTCAAATATAATTCATTCATTTAAAATATAAAATTCTAGGCTTGGCATGTTGCTCAGTGGTGGAGCACTTGTCCAGCATATGTGAGGTCCCCCGTTCAAGCCCCACCACTACACACACACAAAAATTATAGAATTCAGCCATTTTTAATACAGTCACAAAATACAACCGTCATTACAGTTTTAGATAAGAAACACTCACCAGCTGTCACCCCTTTGTTTCCCCTTAGAAAGTGATCTTTTGGTACTGGCTTCTTTCACTTAGCAAAATATTTTCAAGTTTCATTTATATTGTAGCATTTATTAATAACTCTTTCCTTTTATGGCTGAATAATATTTCACTATATGGATCTACCACATTCATCAATCAATACACATATGATTTGTTTATAGTTTTTGGCTAACATGTATGAGATTGCTGTGAACATTCATGGACATGTTTTAGTGTGAACATGTTTTCATTTCTCTGGGGTATTCTCCTATGAGTAGAACTGCTAGGTCACATGCTAGCTTCATGATGAACATTTTGAGAGACTGCCAGACTATTTCACAAAGTGGCTACACTATCTTCCATTTCCCCACCAGCAATCTGTGAGAGCTACATTTTCTCCATACCTTTACCAAAACTGGTCATGGTCCATTATCTTATTATAACCATCTGTGTTTGAAGTGATATTTCATTGTGTTCCGATTTACATTTCCTCTATGGCTAATGATATTGAAGATCTTTTCCTCTACATTTGTGTATCTTCTTTGGAGAAATGTGTGTTCAAATACTTTGCCTGTCCAATCAGTGGATTATTTCAAGGGTTATAGGAGTTCTTTATGTATCTGGTTATAAATCTCTTATCAGATTCAGCTGATCACAGGAACATCAAACCATTGCTCTTAGAAGAAATACGTACCTATATGTACATTTCTCACATAAATTAAATTAAATTTCTCACATAAGTTAAATTTTAAAGCTTCTGTTTTCTTTTTTTTTTCTTTTTTTAAAAATATGTCTTAGTTGTTGATGGACCTTTATTTTATTCATTTATTTATATGTGGTGCTGAAATCAAACCTAGTGCCTCACACATGCTAGGCAAGTGCTCTACCACTGAACCACAACCCCAGCCCCAGCTTCTATTTTCTTTACAAAAGAGAAAAAGAGGTTCAGAAGTGTTAAGTAACTTGCCTTGGCTGCTGCACCTATTATTCCCAAAGTTGGCATTCATACCCTACCCAGCTCCCCCGAGAGCTTCTTGAACTACACTGCTGTGCCCGCTTCCTTGAATCTCTATGCAAGAGTTGAACCTTCCTGGTTCAGCATCTACCAGGGACATCTGTGTCTTTTTCCCTGCTCTGTGCATGACTGCAAATCACCAGAGAAAGCTCTGAGTTTTGATTTTGAAAGTTACAAATTTTAGGACATTGTGCACTTCATAAATATGGAATCCACTAATAATGAGGATCAACTGCATGTAGTTTGCAAATATTTTTCCCCATTCTGTGAGTTATCTTCATGGTCTAGATAGTATCCTTTAAAGCACAAAAGTTTGACATCTTGATGAAGTCTAATTTAAAATTTTTGTTATTGTTGTTGTTTGAGCTTTTGGTGTCATGTCTAAGAAGGTTTTGCCTTACTCGGGGTCATCAAGATTTATTCCTGTGTTTTCTTCTATGAATCCCACAGTTTGAGTTCTTACATTCAGGTCGGTATTTTAAGTTAGTTTGTGCATGGTATAAGAAAGAGGTTCAATTTCATTCCTTTCCTAAAGAAGGGGGGAAAAAGGATTCTTTTGACCTCCACTGAATTGTTTTGGCATTTGTATAGGAAATCAGTTCATCATAAATGTAGGGTTTATTTTTAGTACTTCCAATTCAGTCCCACTGATCTTTATTTCTATTTTTCAAACCATCTTGATTAATTTAGCTTTGCAGTAAGTTTTGAAATCAGAAAGTGTCAATCTTCAACTTTGTTCTTCTTATGTCTTTTGAGTATTTTTCCATACTTTTAGATTGTAGAACAATAAGACTATTGGACTGGTGAGGGAATCCCAATATTTAATACATTAAAATTCATTTTATTATAAGGTATATTTCTAGAGTCAAATAGAAATGTCCATTTCTAATGTCTTTTTCAATTGCAATTTTCTTCACTGTTGTGATAATTTAATGCACTTTGTTTCTGCTAAAACAATATGAAATAGCAATTGTGACTTAATGATTTCTCCTAATTCTAATGCTTAGATTATTTAAGGTGTGCTTTGTTTCTCCTATCTGTTTAGGTAGGTGGAGAGTTTTCAAACGTTGTCATACCCCAGATGAAGATTTTTGGAAGAATTGCCATCTGTGGGGCCATCTCCACATACAACCGGACTGGTCTGCCTCCCCCAGGTAATGAGTTCATGCGGTGATCACAGGCTAGGAAGCATGGGGAGGCTTCATAGATATGGGAAGGTCATCAAAATGTGAGAATGACTTCCTGATATTATTGATGAAATTTAAGAACATAGCATTTATTAAAATAAAATATATGATTTCATATATTTTCTGCTAAATCAGCTTAGATTTACTTATTTATTTTGTAGCACTTGAAACCAAGGACACTTTACCAGTGACATACACCCCAGCCCCTTTATTTCTCCCTCAGCTTGTTTTTTATTTTTTATTTTGAGACAGGGTCTTGCTAAGTTCCCACAGCTGGCCTCAGACTTTAAATCCTCCTACCTCGGCCTTCTAAGCAGCTGATTTTACAGGTGTGCACCACCACACCTGACGTATATTAGATTTCAATATGAAAAATTAACGGGGGGGGGGGGGGGGGAGGGGTCTGGGGTTGTGGCTCAGCGGTAGAACACTAGCCTCACACGTTCGAGTGCCTGGGTTCGATCCTCAGCACCACATAAAAATAACTAAATAAAAATAAAGGTATTGTGTCCAACTACAACTAAAAAATAAACATTTTTTTAAAAAAGAAAGAAAGAAAAATAACAGGATCCAAGAGCACAGAAGAAACACTTATAACAAGTTCTAGTTTTTTACCTATCACTTTCTGCCGATTTGTAAAAAGACAGCCATGATTTGACTTAGAACACTTTGGCTCCCCGTGGTATTAGATGACTAGGTGGTGGAGGTGTGCAGTGGTGGAGGGTGACTTGACTGCTCAAGGGAAGGGTAGGCTATCGATCCTACAGTCTCAGGCAGTGCTTCCCAGTAGCAAGACAGTTGGCCTGACCAGTCTGACAGTTGCATTTCCCTGGCAATGCTCCATGGTGTGTTTTGTTTCTCCACCGCCGTGCTGTGCCCAGCATCCCCCATTCTCCACTGTCTTGTACTGGTCTTCCCTCCCCCTCCACACTCAAAAAGGTTCAACAACAGTATCAACAGAAAACTATATTCATCTTTCCCAGTCCTATGAAAGGTCTTGTATAGGCCTCATATCTCAGATGGGAAGATGAATGGCCAAGACAATTAGAGACTCCTTAAATCCTATTAGCAGCAGACATGAAACAGACTAGTCTTCTGAGCTCCTCATATAGCAAGCAACAAGATCCTTTCTGCTACAATGGTTCTGTGCTGTTATCAACATTACAGATTTACTGTGGTCCCCCGAAAAGGAGAAAAAAACGAATAAAAATGAGTCTTCTAGACTACAATCAAGTTCTAGGCAACCATAAATGGTTCACTCATTCTATGATGGGCTTCACTAATGGGAATGAAGTTTTATAGTCTCACTAATTAACAACACAACTGCATGAAGAGGGTGGCTAAGAGTGGAAGGGGCAACTTACAGATTCTCTCTTGGGCTGTGAAAAAATAAGAGAAACTAGCTTCTCTAAGAAGGAAATTCCAGATTCACTTGGCAACTTTATTGTTAGGAACTTTTTTTTCACCTTTATTTTTCTAATTGATGAGCTAGAATCGTGAGAAATCATCTGCCTGCTAACTGAGCAGAGTTCTACGATGCTTTTGCTTAGACACATCTAATTAGGTTTAAGTAACTTGAACTGGTCTTTTAAAAAAAAATTATTTTTTAGTTGTAGTTGGACACAATACCTTTATTTTGTTTATTTTTGTATGGTGCGGAGGATCGAACCCAGGGCCTCGAACATGCTAGGCAAACACTCTACTGATAAGCCACAATCCCAGCCCCTTGACCTGGTCTTTTTAGCAATTAGTCTTTGGAAATTCAACTACTCAGGTAGATCTGGGAGATGTTAGCTGACTTTTTCCATTCTATTTTAACCAATTGGGATTCTGCCTTGCCTCGGATCTGTAGGAATTCCAACATATTCCATTAGTAGAATAGCTCAGGGCCAAGTAATTATTTCCACCAAACCTTACTGCCACATTTGCTTTTTTTTAATTTTTTTTTTATTTTTTAGTTTTCGGTGGACACAACATCTTTGTTTGTATGTGGTGCTGAGGATCGAACCCGGGCTGCACGTGTGCCAGGCGAGCGCGCTACCGCTTGAGCCACATCCCCAGCCCCCACATTTGCTTTTTTTCTTATCTCAAAAAATAAACTAGTTCCCATCAGGATGAACTAGGCCAGCAACAGTATTTTCAAGATTAAAAATATAGGAACTGGGGCTACAGCTCATTGATAGAGCACTACGACTACAAAAAAAAAAAAAATAGAAATTCAGGTTACTGGGGCTGGGGTTGTAACTCAGTGGTAGCGCAATGGTCTGGCTCATGTGAGGTACTGGGTTCAATCCTCAGCAACACATAAAAATAAATAAATAAAAATAAAGGTATTGTATTCATTTACAACTAAAAAGAAAGAAAGAAAGAAAGAAATACAGGTTCCAATGTTTAACTCAAAAAGAAATATGGTTGATGTGGATCATCTGCAGAAGCATTCTTTCTGCCTCTAATTCAATTCTTTCTGATTTTCATCCAATCTAGCATGTGGAAGTATCGCTCATCATGCATCAGTTTCTGTTGATTCAAAACAAAGCTCCATTTTTCTGCTGATGCTACTTTTCTCAAAATAGTGAGTAGGGACCTTAGGCTTGCGTGACACCAACTATCTAGGGTGTTGAGGAAAGATTCTACCACTTGTCTCTTGTTTTCTGGTTCTGATATTCCCTAGGCATCTTCATCTGACTTCTTAGAATTTGTAAGACTTTGCTCAGGTATCATTCTCTCAATTTCTGGAAACAGGATTCCTGGGAAAATGAACCAAGCAACCAATATAATCCTTTCTCTCTTTCAGAAGAACGGTTCCTTCTTTACAGGCTGTAGGAGGACTTTGTGCTCTTTCTAGGCTAATGATTCTCAAAGCGTGGACCCAGGACCAGCAGCTCAACTAGCTCCTGGGAATTTGTTAGAAATACAAATACTTGCCATGTGGGGTGGTGCATGTCTGTAATCCCAGGGACCTAGAAGGTTGAGGCAGGAGCATTACAAGTTAGAGACCGGTCTCAGCAACTTAACGAGACCCTAAGCAACTCAGAGAAACCCTGTCTCAAAATAAAAAGGAGTAGAGATGTAGCCCAGTGGTTAAGTGCCCCTGGGTCCAACACCCCTTACAAAAGAAAGAAACACACTTTTGAAACACTCTAGATCTACAGTTCCAAACTATATTTCCCTCCTTCTCTCCCTCTCTGTATCTCTACTCTATCTCATATCCCTGTTTCCATCATCATTTATTTTTTCCTGACCAATTTTCTTGGGTCTCTCTTTCCCTCACAAGAATACGTGTGATTTTTATTGAGACCATGGTATGATCTAGAATAGTCTCCTGATCTCAAGATTCTTAATGTAATCACATCTACAAAATCCTTTTTGCCACATAAAGTAATATATTCACAGGTTCTGGGGTTTTGGATGTGGGAGTCTCTGGGGCCATTGTTCTACCTACTACAGACAACATGTTGATAGTCAGCAGCCCCATGTATCAGAAAGGGGCAGAGAGAATGAAGGGGAAACAGTGACAGTGACTTGGACTGCTTGTGTTCCCACCCTGGAGAGCAACATGTAGACCCTATTGCTTAAATGTGCCCTCCTCTTTCAGGCCCACCCCCAGAAGCTGTTATCTATCAACAACTCCGCATGGAAGGGTTCATCGTCACCCGCTGGCAAGGAGATGTCCGCCAGAAGGCTCTGAAAGACTTGATGACATGGACCTCCGAGGTAAGGGAATCCAGAGCCACCCACTTCCGTTGTACGCTAGATTCCATTGGCTTTTTGCCACTCAAGACCATCCATCTAGCAATTGGTCCCTTTCTCTGTTGCACTATTCGTTACTTCCTGTCTTTTGGATCATTGTTTTTCAAATACAAACCTTGCTTTTCCCATCCTGAAAAGGAATATGAAACAACCCTCTTTAAATTTTATTTCTCCTGCAAATACAGGTTCATGTCACTGTTTCCCCCTTTGATAACAAAATACCTACCTGCAAGTGTTGTCTACCCTCATGCAGACATCTCCTTTCTTTCCATTGTCACTTGAACCCACATATCAGGCTTTTGCTTGGCCACAATTCCACCAAAATTACTTTCATCAAGGTCGTTGATGTCCCTCACCCCGGGAGATCCAGCGGCCGATTCTTAGCATTACTTGGCAATGGCCAAGATTTGACTGTGATCTCTCTCATTGATGTGCTTTCTTTCCTGGCTTCCCTTATCTCTGATTTTTCCCCCACTGATTAGTCTTCCTCAGATTTCTCTTCTAGCTCCTACTTTCTAGATTAATAATATTAATAATAATTAATGTCCAGGGCATGGTCACTGGGTCTCTTTCCCTTTTACCCACACTCTGTCTATCCCTTAGTTAGCTCATCCAGGCTTGTGGTTTTAAATACAGACAGTATGCTGACAGCCCCCAAATTTCTATCTCCATCCTGATTTCTCCTGTGAAGTCCAAATTGGTATATCCAGCTGCTCAACTGCTGTACCTGGATGCCTAGTACACATCTCCAAGTTACCATGTCAAAATATACCACAGTGAACATCACCATTATGTATATCTACAAGGCATTAATTTAAAAAAAAAAAAACTATAAGTAAATACAAAGAGTAGAGGGAAGGAAATGGGGAGGGAGGAGGGTAGGGAAAGGGGAAGTATTGACAAATTCTATTCCATCCTCTTATAATTATGTCAAAATGAATCGTAATCTTATGTATAACTAAAAAGAACCAATCAAAAAATTCCAGCTTCCTTACTTTCTTAGTGACGTCAAGCAAATACTTTTGTCCATAAATTCATAAAGGTGCTTAGCCATCAGTACAATACATTAGGGGGAAATGGTTCAAGTCACTCAGACCTCTACCTAAGATCCCTTTCTAAAAAAATCTTGAAAATATAAATTAGTTCCACTTAGTAGACTATGTGCCTTGTACTAGAAGAAGAAATTTAAAAAGCCCTTCACTAACACTCCTAAATAATGTTAAGCACAAATTGAATGAACCTGGTCTTAAAGAGGAGACAAATGATTGGACTGCCATGGTGTTTACATTTCCTGAATAGGCCCTGCCTCAGCAAGGGCCAAACAAAGGTGATGAATCTGCATCCTCTGGCCACTGGAGGTGACTAAGACAGTAGGACCTGACAAGGGTGCTCCTGTCTTCATCTACTTCCTCCTCTCCTGAGATCATTACATTATTAGACTTTTCTAAACAATCTACATAGAGAATGCTTAATATTGCCTGTGACATTGCTCCTGTTGTTACACTGATGACCCTGACTTCTAAAAGCTTCTTTGGTGTACTTTTGTCACCTCTTATGCATACCAGGTAAGTGGATCTTGCTCCCAAATTGACTTTAAGTTCACAGAAAACAGGGCCTCCATTTCATTTCTTCCAGGTCCCCATGATATACTTGATAAAGTTCTTGTGAGGATGAGAGTATCATTTACTTCAGGAACCAATATATTATATTTGTTGTTTTGATACAGGGTAAAATCCAGTATCATGAACACGTTATTGAAGGATTCGACAACATGCCATCTGCATTTATGGGATTGCTGAAAGGAGAGAATTTGGGGAAATCCGTAGTGAAAGCATGAGAGAAAAATGACACAGGAGCCACCACTGGACAATTTAAATGATTAGTTTTTCACCATTCAGTAAAAATTAGCCTTAATTATCTAAATTATCTTAATTGTCTAAAAATTAGCCTTGATTATCTAAGAATAACTAATCACTTTGACCTACCTAATAAAATGCATTTAAATTATTTATAATTAGTGATAGAGAATGAAATTTTCATAGTTAAGAACAACCAGTCACCAACTTACTACCTACTACTGCTCCTCCCGGGTTATAGCCAAAAAATTATGACTGAAGTCTGTGTGTTAGCTTTCCCTTACTGTGACAAAATGCCTGAATAATCACCTTAAAAGAAGGAAAGGTTTATTTTGGTTCACTGTTTTGGAGGTTTCAGTCCATGGTCTGTTGGCCCCACTGCTTTGGGCCCAATTGGTGAGGCAGTACATCATCAGGGAAACGGGTGGGAGAAGCTGCTCATCTCATGGCAGCCAGGAAACAAAGAGAAGGACAGAAAGGAGCCAAGACCCAATATCCTCTTCAAAGGCATACTCCCAGTGACCTAATGTCCTCCCGCTAAGTCCCCTCTCTTAAAGAATCCACTCCTAATAGTGCCAGTCATGATAAAGCTTTTAACACATGGGCCTTAGGGGGCACTCATCCAAACCAAAGCAGAGTCTAAAAGTTTACTCCCTCTGTGGCCTTGAACTTCCAATTCTTTGTTTTTAAATTGAAGATAGTTACCTCCTTCCAGAAAATGGTGAACCTGAAGTAATAAGATCTCTAACCCTACTGATTATAACAAAAGTCTCATATGAACCAAGAAAAGCAAATCTCTTCATTCACAACAGGTGCAAAAAAGATAGCACCTAGGAATACTTATAGACCTTTAAAATTTTTTTGCAAGATTTATATGGAAAATGGCTTTTAAAATTCTGAGGAACACAAATGATTTAAATATATGGAAAAAGTAACGTGCTTTTGGACAGGAAGATTCAATATCAGAAAGATGTCAATTTGTTGATCAATTCTGTCATCATTAAGTTAAATAAAATTGTGCAAAGAATGAGGCAAAAACTGTGTATAAAAACTGGATGGATATAATAAACTACCAATAATGGTCTGTTTTCAAAGAATAAAACAGTATGGAAAATAGAGGGATAAGAGAAATCTTTGGAATGATAACATTTGGTACTTTTTGAACTCTGAACCTTACAAATTTACTCACAAATACAATTAAAAAATAAAAGTCCCTGCTTTTTTGTGTGTCCTTCTTTTACCAGTCTGTTCAATCCTAAAGTTATCAGCGGGACTGAACAAGGCAACTGCCTCTTAGGGTTTGGAGTAGGGGAACTCCATGACCCAGAGCAGGGTGAGCTCATGCACGGAGCCTGGCTTCCTGACATGGACAGTCAAAGTTCAGTGTTGTGTATGTGTATACACCAGGGAGCAGAAAGGGGATGGGAAGTATTGAGTGGTGTGTTGTAGACTGGTGGGGAATTGGAGCCCCAACAAAATGGATATAGCATCTGAGTCACAGTAGAACTCCCCAACATCATGTATCAAAGTCCAGAGGAACCAGGGGCAGTAACACATGCCTGTCATTCCTGGTGAGCACATGGCAGAAGGATTGCAAGTTGAAAGCCAGCCTGAGCAATTTAGCCAGACCCTGTCTCAAAATACAAAGGGCTGGGGATGTGGCTCAGTGGTTAAGTGCCCTTGAGTTCAATACCCAATACCCTCCCCTCCAAAAAAAAAAAAAAAATGTCCAAATCGAGTGAAGAGTTCATCAATGCCATGGCCCCATGAATGGTGTCAAGGGTTCGAGCAGGTGAGGAGAGCATTTGAACAGGAGGGCTGCCTGGTGTGTGGAGTGAAGGCGGAGCAAGGAGAATATCATGCCTGCCTGGCAACTGCACATGTAAGAGCTCAGGAAGAATAAGCAGGATGCTGACGTGGAGGGGTGGCCTGACATGGGGCATATGATCCCAAATGAGGTGAGGACAGTATCCACGTGGGAGTGAGTGACAGGCAGTTGGATCCCAAGTAGGTTAAAGAGTTGCTCATGCATGGGATAGCCTGGTATGGGGATCAGAGCCCAAGAGGAGCTTCTGGGTGGCAATGGGCTCACCAGAGGCTGGTGGAGCAGAGGGAAAGAAGAACATCCTCAAGGGGAAGCAAGAGTGGTGACCAGGTGCAGGATGTCAGAGCTTGAGTGGAATAAAGGAGTATTTACATGAGAGGTGGAAGGTTGGTGATACAAGACCAACATGTAGAAGGTTTGATCAAGGAAGGAAACGCAACGTAAGCCAGTTTATGCCAGAAAAGGGTTACAAACATGGAAAGAATTGGAAGTATTAGTGTGAACTCATGAGTCTCAATGCATGAGATAAATTATGGTTGTTACTAAGTTGTATGTAGTATATACATACTGCATACAAATGTACGTACGTATACATTCATATATTCCTTAATTCTGTCCACTAAGTGGTTTTAATAGTGACATCCCAATAGTGATGCGAACACCGAAATCTCAGAATATGGCTTTTACATACCATTCTCTACAAAACAGAACTAAAGCTCCTTGGAGAAGTGGCTTATTCTAGGGCTGGGGGAGGGAAGATACAAGATGGGTGGGGTGAGGCTCAGTAGGGAGGCACTTGCCTAGCATGCTCAAGGCCCTGGGGCCAATCCCCAGTGTTTAAAAAAAAAAAAATCACCAAGATGAACTTCTTAAACCAGAAAGTAAGGAAATATTCAAGGAATGAGGAGGTCATGTCAAAAAAATTCAAATTCCCACTAGACAAATCATGGAAAATTTGAGCTCCAAAATAGGGGTACTGTATTCTAATGTGTTACTGATGAAATCTGAGGATTTAGGATGTGGAGACATCAGGTTCTCTTGAAATGGGAGAGAAATCAGAGGCTAAAAGCGCTTAAAAATACACAGAAAGAGGAGTTTGAGCTCCCTACCTTGTTTGGTCAGGTAATAATCCTCCCACAGGAAATTATTATATTTCACCAAACAGAACTAGAAAAGCTATTAACTGGGAGACCCCAGGTCTGCAGAAGGGTATAAATGAGATAGAAGACTAGAAAGAGATGAAATGGAAGCCTCTATCCCATCCTGCCACATAGCTTGCTTCTGCCTGCTCCAGAATAATGGTAGCCAGGCTTATATGCCCTGGGCTGATTAGAAGACATTTCTCTAGACAAAATATACATCCTGCTGAAGAAATTATATTACTTCAAGAAAAATTAGCAGGCACTGACATTTAGGGTCTCAACAGTAAAACCTAGGTGAATGAAACTAAAAAGCTTCTAATTCAGACTCTGGACTCTGAATTGGAAACACTGATCTCATCTGACTTTGGATTGTCTCCTTGAGGAAGTATGTACTGCATGTGGGAAGAATGAAAAGGAATGATAATTAAGAGACTGGGGTAGAAATAATCCATGTGCTCACGTTAAGACTATTTCCCAGCCTTCCTTCAAGTTAGGCTAGGATCATGTGACTGATTTCTGGCCAAAAGATGAGAATATAAATTATTTCTGAATCTAATGTTCCCAAACTTCTTGGTTACATTATCCTCGGGGTCATATAATTTTTTTTCTACAATGCCCTAGGCCAAAAGAAATACCTACCAATTCCAACTGCTGGTTAGTTCCAACAACACAGTAGAAGTAGTTGATGTTGTCTCTATCAGTAAGAGATGTACTATCACTAAACATTAAAATATTCTGAGAAGCTCCAGGGAGTTCTCTGCAGTGCCCTTGGAACCCAGTGGTGACCCATGGATCTAAGCTCTTTTTAGGCCAGTGCTTAAACACACTGTACCATGTACCAATTCTCCCCTTCCTTGCCTCTGGGACCTTGGAAATCATATGTCCTAAATGGCATGACTACAAAATGTCGGAAAGCAACAAAACCTGGAAAATAAACTTTTATTGCATTAAGCTTCTGTGATTTGTTGGAACTAGCATTGGTTGGAACTAGCTTACCTGTAGCTAGCACTGCTTTCTTTAATTCTGTACAGTTCAATATGGTGGCCACTTGAGATCATTAAAAACTAAGAATGCAATTAGTGGCACATACCAAAAGCTTTAAAACAGCAGGAGGCAAAGACAGGAGGACTACAAGTTCAAAGCCAGCCTCAGCAACAGTGAGGTACTAAGCAACTTATTAAGACACGGTCTCTAAATAAAATACAAAAAAACAAACAAAAAAAAAAAAAACAAGGGGCTGGGGATGTGGCTCAGTGGTTGAATGCCTCTGAGTTCAATCCCTGGTACACCCCCCCCCCGCCCCCGCAAAAAAAAGAGTCAGCCTCAGCAACTTAGCAAGGACCCATCTCAAAAAATAAAAAGGGTTGGGAATGTAGCTCAGTGGCTAAGTGCCTCTAGGTTTGATCCCCAGTACCAAAACAGAATTCAAAACAGAAGCACAGGGAAATATTTTTTCATTAAACACAACTTTATTGTCTTGACAGAACTACAATTCACTTTAACCACTGCATCACATAGGACACTGGTCTTCTAACACTTGTATGGAACGTGCATTATTTTTAGTGTTACATACAAACATATCACCAATCTAGTCAGTATCAACAGACTAATTCAGTTCAGATGACTTTTTTCTATGCACGGATGGAATATTATGGTGGGTTTACTTGGATATTTTATGTAGGTAGCACAAGTTAGAATATACCTATGCAGACAGCACAAGTTACAGTGTTTTGCACATAAATCATAATCATTAAATTGAGATATTTGCTATTATAATTATTTTCTAGGCAAAAATATATGGAAAATATTTAAATTTTAAACAAGGCATATCATTGAGGCAAAATTCAGTGCAGATACAGAAGCTAGTACTACAACCAGCAAAAACGGGAATAGGAGAGTATAGTGCACATTCAAAGATCCATACCAATTGCAATTTACAGCAAAATGAAAAGAAAAGGCTGTTGAATTCAAGTGTTGACGATAACATAAAAGGCAACACTGAAGACAATCATTAAGAATTACTAATTTTTTGAACAAATTAGTCAAAAAATAATTCACAAAATTAGTCATAAGAAATGAGAATTAAATTTCTAACAAAACAATTTTTAAAAGTTTTAGCAGACTGTTTGTAAACACAGTGCACTATTAAAACAGCTTAATTCTTACATGACCACACACAAAAAAAGAACGTTAGATTGAAAGATAAAAAGAGTCAGGCTGGAGTGTAGCTCAGTGGCAGAGCACTTGTCTAGCATGCACAAGGCCCTACATTTAACTCCAGCACTGCCACAAAAAAAAGAAGAGATTATTTTATATATGATAATTTATTTAGAAAATTTTAAGACCTCTTAAAAAACACACACAAAAAAACCCTGATAGAAAAAAAAACAAACCCTGAAATATTCGATTGTACCATTTAACAATTTTGCTCATAGAATATACATGAGCAAATTATATTTTGCTAACAGAATATATAGGCATATGTTTCTAATAATATCAAAGATCAATTGATTCAAAATTTGAAAATTTTCAAGTTTTAGTTTCAGAGGAATTGTGTGATATAAGACACTGCTCAAGGAAAACTTTGGGTATATTCTGTTTTCAAAGAACATCCAAATTTACAAAGAAATGTCAATTCATTGCCTAAAATCTCAAATTCATGACAGATATTTTTGATCAATTTCCATCAGTCGAGGAATTTCAACAAGAGATTAATTTGTACTGTGAAGATGGAATTCTAGCTATGCTAAGTCAAAGACCAGATACATCAGAATTTAAAAGCAAAATAACCTCTCGTTGCTTTATTCCAGTGTACAATTCATATTGAAGATATTCTTGTTCAGTTTTCTGAAGCAGATTCCAAGATGAGATATGGATACAGTCACTAAAATTCTTCAGGACATATGCATATGTACAAATGCTATGGAATACTCACTGCTAGTTATGGAACCAAAAAAGCATAAAACATTACATGATCTTGGGTTCTTTATCACTGTTATCTGGATGACTTATAAAAGAATTTTATAAAGATTTCCTGAACTAGAAAATCCAATTCAACATTTCCTTGAAACAAAAGGAATGTTTACCAAATATTATGCAAAGTGAAATAAGACAGACACAAAAGAACAGATGTTATATGAGCTCAGTTATGTGAAGTGTCTAAAATTCAAATATGTAGACAAATTAGAATAGTGGTCACAATGAGGGGAAATGATGAGTTATGGTTTAATGAGTACAGAATTTCAGTTTGG